GCAGGAAGGTGATGGGCAGTGCAGGAAGGTGATGGGCAGTGCAGGACAGTGGTGACTTGGCCCTCTTCATTTTAAATGCCTCCCTTACTGAAACCTACTCAGCAGGGTCTGTAAAATCCAGTCCTTTATCTCCACGGGGATTGTGCAACGAATGCATGAACATATCTGTAAATACACTTGGGGGATAGATAGGTCTCTAACAGATACCTTGGTGAAGTCAAGAATGAATTATTCTTCCAGCACTTATTACAAGCCCATTTCTATAACTAGAACTCAGCTAGCTTGGTCACTGGTGCCACTGAAGTGCCACTCTTAGCGTTGACTTTGAAATTCACACATGTACTCAACATCAAGACGCTATCTCAAATGATTTTCCCAACTTTCTCGCATGGCCCACGTCATTCAGGGGCTGGGAAGGTTCTGCCTACCCCCACTGCAGCACCCCCCCCCCCCCCCCCCCCCATCCTCCCCCACCATGATCTGGTTAGCTACTTCACTGTAAATTTGATGCACTACTCCACCTTATGTTCAGTGATAGGAATATTTTCTTAACACTTCACCACTCTCACTGTCCCAGCAGCTCATGTGACACTCTTGGAAATCAAATCTTGAGATGCGTGAAAAAATATTTCCTTAGGGTCACTGGGCTCGAAACGTAAACTCTGTTTTTCTTTCTACTGATGCTGCCAGACATGCTGAGTTTCTCTCGATTATTGTCACCCTAACCTTTGGTGTGCATTCCAGCAGAAAGCCTTGAATATTCTGGATTCTCCAAGGGAAAAGTTTACTCTAAATGCCTCCTCACCTAAAAGTGATGAAGTTAAATTTCAGATTATTCACTGTGACACCATCCACTGAAAACATGCCCGACTCCCAGTAAAAAAGCACCCAATATCTTAGTTCTGACCAACTCTCCTGGGGTAATGCCTTCATACACTGTAGGGAGGTCCACAGGTAGAAGAACAATCCATGTTCTCTTCTTCTGCGGTTTACTGCCCTTAGTTAATGCTCACAGTTTGAGTTTCCCACCCTGCTTGTTTACTTGCTTATGCACACAACAATAGGGGAACACCAATGTCTGTGGTTTCAACTATGAGTCGTTTGATATTCACTTGCTCCTCCAAATAGCAACACAGTTGGTAAGAAATGCAACACCAGTCACTGCTGGAAAGTCCCCTCATTGAGAGTAAAGTGAAAATATCTGTTCAGTTTGAAGACTCTTGTCCTGCCAGCACTGCACCAATATGATCTGGCAGGAGGTCACAACAGTGCTCCAGCAACAATGAGCTCGCTCAGAGGAAAAGGCTAATCCATCATAATATTCGACCATCCTACATTATTGCTGCCTTCTACCGCTTTAGGTTGCAGCCGAATGATTACCTAATAACTTTCAGGCAGAGTTTCACTTCCTTTCTGTGTCACCACAGCCAATCTACAAGTAGCTTTACATAGAGGAAGACTTCTAGTAATAGTTGAACCATGTCACCTCAACTGAACCCCTCATATTGGTCAACTGCAATCCAGGTTGGGTTATTTTTGGAGCATTAATTACTCCTGCGTAGGCTTACACACATGTACAATCGAAGATTAATGCCCTGGGAATTGCTGCAAATAAAACTTGAGAAAAAAAAATCAGCAGGCACTGAATTATTAAGTTTGCAGGGAGGCAATTGGATTGCATGGATGAGAGGAAGCTGGAGGTAATGTAAGGGCATTTCCAAGAATAATTCCAGATCGAGTGGGCAATCATTCCTGAGCTACCAAAGGTGAAGTCACTGGGGGAACTGAAGCTCATGTCTTGGTCTGGCAATTCCAGCAGCAGCTCCTTATTAAGATGATGGAGAGAAGCAGGTCACATTGGAAATCCAGTGTAAATAAAGTGCAGAAAAGGGGACATGTAACAGATTAATCGTTCCGTTTACACAGACTCCATATCTTACAGAGGGGGCAGACATAATTAAGTGTAGCTGTCCTCCACGAAGCTAATGGAATCACTCTCAGATTTGTACATTCAGGGGGAGCAGCTTTCCCTGTTTACAGCAAACACATTGTAGAGCTCACCACAACAAACACCAACAGGAGCTGCATATAAACATCACGTTCTAGTGAACAACAGTTACCTTCCTCAGCTGCCACATCATTCTATTCCAAGCTGTGTATTTGAACAGAATATACCAGAGAAATCACTGAGGCTGAAATGATTTACATCTGACAACTACAGCTATCTTCCTCTGTGCTAGGTATGACTCCAGCCAGTGCAGAACCTCTCCCCAATTTCCATCGACTGCAATTTTACATGGGCTCCTTGAGTTGCCCATATGGTAAGCGCAGTCATTCCCAACTCACCTCTTGAATTCTGCTTTACTGTTCATGTTTACAGCAGGTCAGGAGCTGAGTGGTTCAATGATCAACACAAACTGAGCATCAGTAGCAGATCATCGCTGAGTAATGTGTCTTTTGACTTTTTCTTTATATCCAGAAATGCTCTTTCACACAACCAAACATTTTTTTCCCTTCCACCGAATCACCCACAGTACCTTCTCATCGCCACCACCAGTAAATCACCCGTGTTTTCCAATTGATTAATCAGCATGCAAAGCCCATTAGGAGCAATGCAAACCATCAAAAGGTGAGGGAGAGGTAGGGAGAGGGGAACGGGGCTAAATCAAAATGGAGTAGGAAAAGTGTCTCTTGATAACACTGACGATCACTCTTTCCACCTTTCTGCGAATGATTGAGAGTAGACTCATCCATAATTGGTCAGATTATATTTGCCCTGTCTTTTGTGGGCAAGGTGTGCAAGTTTCACAAGCTGCACTTTCTGTTGAGGAGGCTCCATAATACGAGCAACACCTCAGGAATTTGGGGCATTATGAGCCTCAAAACAAACTTGAGAGAGACAGGTGTACAGAGGCATCACTTCACCCAAAAGGACTGGGTCAGCAACATGTTTTGGATTAATACACCCAAATCAATATTAACACGCGACATCAAGCCAAATCAGATGAAGAGACTGTGTCTGCTCTCGTTGAAAGGATACAGTGATTTCCATCAGTGACCTGTTGATTAACCAATGGCATTTTAAAGAGCGACTGACTGAGAACAGTACCAAAAGTGTGAGTAAGAAAGTGACACAGAGGGTGGGAACACATCTGAGCAGATTTCATGAGACATTCAAGCATTTGACATTGGCCATATTAATGGCTCCTGGCAATGACATAGCAGCGCTCAACCTGAAACTGAAACTGAAATCTCATATGCAAAAACAGTGAAATACCATTTAGCAGCTTACAAAGGCTTGCACACTAATGATGCCTTTTATGGAAAAAATGTAAACTTCTTCTGCAACATAGCTGACACTACAAAGGGTGCACTGCACACTGAAAGTTCAATAATACAATGTGCAGGTGGACAGGCGTGACCTGTCTGAAGGAGAGGCTGGTGGGGTCAATCTTTTGAGTACTCATATGCCTTGTACATTACGAGCATGCACCAAAGCACTGGGGACCACCTTTTCTGATGTTTATCTGTGACATGCCATTTTGTGCCAGAAAGTGGAAAAAAAATATTTGGAGAGGTGAAACTTGTGAAGCTTTTCATTACAATCTGGCTAATATTAGCTGACTACTAGCTTGTAGCTGATTGTATAGTGTGTGAGAACATTTTGCCAGGTCTGTGTAAGCACATTTTGCAAATTCCGACCAGACAGTGGGAGGGGCCGAGACTCTTATGTGGCAAGGAATGGGGCTCTCTTCACTAAACTGTTTGATACTAATGAGAATTGAAACTTGATCTGTTTCTAGCAGTTAACTGCCTTACAAAACAAAAAAAAACAAAAACTGGTTTGGAACAACCTTCAACATTACACCTGAATTTTACCAGTCATTTAAGAAACATTCAGATACGTGCACGGATGGGATAGGTATGGACAGAATAGGGCCAAACACAGGCAAATGGGGGTGGTTTAAATTGTGAAAATTGGACAGCACAGGCACATTGGGCCAAAAGGCCTGTTTCCATGCTGGAGACCTCTATGACTCTGTCAGAATGCCCCTATCTCCACTTTGGCACTGCAATCACCTAAGAATGGGCCAGCTCCCCTCTGCCCCAGTCCCCTACAATCAGTCCTTCAGCACTTGGGTACTGTCAGTCTGGAATGGATCAGTTTATACGACACATGATTCCTCACATACTGTGTGCACAGAGCAAAGGACAATCCCACGATATGATCCATCCATTACCTTAGCTTCCTGAGTAGAGTCTCATGACTGGCTTCACATTCCATCGAGGGTGATAATGACCTGTGCAGCAAAAATGAAATAAATGTAGGAACTCTAGAACATCATCATCAACAGAGACAATTAAGTGATTCTTTAAACTTCACATTTAAACTGAAATACCTGTTAATTGGGTTGGCAGTCGAGCCTGTAAAAAATCTAACTTTTGCAACATTCCCACCATCACTGGAAAAAAATATAATTGACATATTAGTTTAAATATTTTGTCACTTTACAAGCAAGAATAGTGATTTGGGTGAATAATAATCAGAAGAGTGATCAGTACTTGCATTTCCTGTGCTATAAGAAAGTACTAACAATAGACAAAGGCTGACAAAATCATACACCATAGGGAAAGGAACTCACAGATCTGTTAGCAGCAGTTTGAATCTAAAGCAATTAGTTGCTTTTACACAATAAATATTGACATCTTGCTTCCCTGATATAATTTCTTAATGCTGCATAGTCTGCTTAAGCAGGTTCCTGTAATTCTGATACAGCATTCCCAACTTCAGTGTCAGCCAAATCCTTATTAAGCGTTTCCCAACACTCAATGATCCATTCCTGTCAGAAGATAGAATCTGACAATGATACAATTTATGATTCAGGGAACGACTTGGATAAACTTGAACCCATAAGGCAGAAATGTAGGCCGGGCTCAACCTACTTTTCAAGTTTCTGCATGGACCAGAATTGTGGTTTTGAGCTCAAATCTGCAAGACGCAGTCTGTAGTTTTACAATGACATTGTAAGAATTAAATCAGAAAACTACAGTTCTACAAAAATCTACCAGAAGCAAGTATGGTTCAGAGGTGAGCTACAATATTGTGGCACCAATTCTCCAACCTAACGTCTATCTGATACGAATGAGCGGTTTGATTTTTTTTTTGCAATCTCTGTTCCTGTTACTTTAACGGAGATGTATGGTCTGTTTAAATTAAATGAGCAAACACCTCCAATAAAAGCATTAAGTGATCACCCAGCAGAATCTCACAGTGGGATTTCAGTGCAAAGGAAGATACTTTTACCTTCAATAAATATTTTCTTCATTGACATTATTGAGTCATGTGAGGATGTGAGCTCACATGTACCAGTTGCCTTTCAGCTCATCCTAGTGACAACCATCATGTATGTGTAAACCTAGAAAGCAAGCATTGGTGGGATGCCTAGAGAGACAGTGGAGGGGGCTTTATTGACAAATTTAATTCCTGTCTTCAGCTCACTCCAGACCCACAGACATTCCAGCAGGAACAACTGGCGAGCACTTAGGAACTGGATGATTTTTGCTTTCTCCTTAAACTGTGGGGGGGCAGGAGAGACAGTCGTAACTTCTTTTTATACTTTCTTTGCGGGAATATGTTAACTGGAGGAGTTTGCAGTCTGGGAGCTATTGTCAATTATCAAACACAGGGCTATTGGTTGAAAGGACTTGGTGAAGTCAATATAGGATGAGGTGAAGTTTGCAGAGGGTGAAAGATAGGGAGATGAGCCAGGAGGCCATTGGAATAGTCAACCTAGAGCAGGACCTTCCTTGATGTCCTCCACACTCAGCTGTGCAGTTAGCCCAGGACATTTTGTACCTGATCAAAACAAATATTTAGCTTTTCCATTCATTTAGTTTTGGTGAATTGATCAATATCACATAGGGGAGGTGATAGCCTAGTGGTATTATCACTGGACTGTTAATCCAGAGACCTAGATAATATTATGGGGTCCTGAGTTCAAATCCTGCCATGGCAGATGGTGGAATTTGAATTCAGTAAATATCTGGAATTCAGAATCCAATGATGAACATGAATCCATTGTCGATTGTCAGGAAAAACCCATCTGATTCACTAATGTCCATTAGGGAAGGAAACTGCCATCCTTACCTCGCCTGGCCTACACGTGACTCCAAACCCACAGCAATGTGGTTGACTCTGGGCAATTAGGGATGGGCAATAATTACTGCCTGCCCTCATCCCGTTAATGAATAAAAAAAATTCCCTATTTCCTCTCATACCAGATTGTCTGAATTTATCCTGTACACAAGAGCTTTAACACTTTTATCAAAATCTATATACATGGAAAAATCATCACCAGCAATATCATTCCACCACATCCCAGAAAATGAGTCAGCTCCAACTTTGGAAGCCAAAGGAAGGTCAGGGGTTGGAAAGGTTCCCTACAAACAAGCTTTTTAAAGAGCCCAATCCCTCACAGATGCAAGAGACAATCTCCAGCATTTCTTCAACCTCTCCAGCTACATGCTGCTGCCCGGAGACATCACCCAATTAAAATCCTGTCCGGGCCTCCAGCTTTAACCCAGTTTCCAATGTCAAGGTCTGGTTGGAGGCAGAAACCAAGCCACCTTCCTTTACATGTCAAGTTCATTAACTACTCAGTCTTACAGCTGCTTCCACTGATCAGTAAATGTCCTTTACATCTACCCAGTCAATTAATTAATCAATTAACCATCAACATCTGCCTAACTACTTGTACATTAACATTTTAGTCACCCTGAATAGGAATAACTTCATGGTTTACTGCTCAACAACAATTCCCCAACCCTTGCCAATAACATACACATGGAACTGTATAACTATGTAGAATCCTGCACCCAGAAGGATGATGCAATCTATACCCTATCCAATCATATCAGAGAATAAACAAATGTCTGACATAAATATTTGACAAAGATCTCTCTTACCTGACGTGGATATCCAGGATATTTGAACAGGTGTTTATGGTGTTTGCTATTCCAAGAATGCCATCTACAGTGATATTATTGTTGCCTAATCTGGAATGAAAGAAGGATTTTAAGTCATATTTCCAGAATACTTCCATCTAACAGATTTACAAATAGGTTAGGATCAGCCTTTACAGACATCTTCTCAAGACTGCTGGCCACATTTTAAACTGTCTCCTATAATACGGTAAAACAAAATGCCCTGGAATAGAGTATGGTGTGAAGTTGTATTGTACTTTAACCCTGAGACAGGACCAGGTGATTGGGTTGCTAGGGGGACAAGGAGCCAAGCTGAAACTCTGGTAAAAGTCAGGTTTGAGCTTTAGCCTTCTGCTAGACACAAAGGAGGAGGCAGCTTGTCTTATTGCAGGCAGGCTCTCAGAGGCAGTCAGAACAAGTGTAGGAGAAATAGGCGCACATAGGTGCTGCTGTACCAAGCAGAAATAAAGGACTGCTCTGGGGCTGACCAGCATGTGGTAGCATGGTGATAACAGAACCCACGGTCGAGGAACCAATGGTTGTAAAGAGTGCAAGACCACAGAGTTGCAACAGGCTATCTTTCAATGGGAAGTCTATTCGATTATTATCAGAAGGTTGAGTGAAGGATACTTTGTTTATAAGAACACTAGAAGATTCATTCTGGTGAAGCAGGGAGTTGCTGTTAGAATCAGGATGAACTGTACATTAAAATCAAAACTACATATCTACTGAGAGTGTGGTATGCTGTTAACGCACTACTGAACATTGCATTAGAAATTTAAAGGGAATGCCTTTTCTGTAAAAGTTGCCTCCTAACTAATGTTTAGTTGATGTTGATTGAAATTGGGTTGTGAAAGTAATAGTCTTAAAGTTTGAAATCTTGCCACGCAATTCTTTGCATTGGGCACTTGAAAATTCATACTCTGAGAGGGCTCTACCGGAGTGATAACACCTCATCACATGACAGCCTGAACTTCCAATGGTTTGGATTCTTTGAGGAAGCTTCTGCTCTGTTTGGCTTTGTCACTCAGTAAGCTGCAGCTCTCAGATGATTTCTCTCCCTCCTGCAGAACAGCCGGTCTGTGAGGAGCAATCTGCTGCTTTCAGTGCTCGCACTATAGGGGCTGTTTCTGCTTCAGCTGTTCCAACTCCAGCCGGTCATGTTGGTGCTCATCTGAGATCCAAAGTGACACAGCTTAAGTGAAATCCACGCTGTAGGACAGCTCCAAGTTCTAGACATACAGATGCCCAAAGTTGTCAGCACAGGTGTGCGAAGTCTTTCGTGCAAACAGATGAGAAAGCAGCTGTGAGTTTTCAGTAAATATCAATTTATTGCCTTCTACCCCCTCCATTGAAACTATTTTTTCTTGTTTGGTGGCATCCAGGGAACTTGGTAAACCCATGGACCCAGCAGTAAACTGAAAAAGCCACATTAGTAATCGTTGCCACTTTCAATGTCCTACAACTGCAATCTGTCCCTCCTGTGGGAGATGTTCACATATAGTCTACCACATTATATTTTGAGTGAACTTCCTGATGCAATATCAATCATAGAACCCCTACAGTGTGGAAGCAGGCCATTCGGCCCATCAAGTCCACATTGACCCTCCAAAGAGCATCCCATTCAGACCCATGCCCCTACCACATCCCTGTAATCCTGCTTTTCCCATGGTTAACCCACCAAGCCTGCACATCCCTGGACACTTCCTGCACAGTTTTGGATTGTGGAAGTGAATTGGAGCACCCGGAGCAAATGCACACAGACATGGGGAGAATGTGCAAACTCCATACAGATAGTTGCCCAAGGGCTGAATCGAACTGGGTCCCTGGTGCTGAGAGGCAGCAGTGATAACTCCTGAGCCACTGTGCTGCCCCAATTCACTCAGTCAGCACTCACACAAACCTCACAAACACCTGCTCCCAAACAGACACAGCTCTGGACTTTACAATTCAGTCTGGACAGACTGGGAAGACACATTTACCTCAAAGATAGTGACAATGGAAGAGGGGCGAGAAGACAAAAACATAAGCAAGATATTCAAAATGGCCTTTTTTTATTGTACTAAGGAAAACCACTGTACCGGCATCTGTCATGTTGAAAAGAGTAAGAGATGGGATAAACTTAGAAGTAATGATTAGGTTAAGTAAAGAAGGTTACTGAAGAAAGTGGAAAGTCTGAGGGTCATAAGAAGGTTCACATTTGCAAGACCGTGACAAAGAATCCCAGAAAAATGTGTAAGTTTTAATCACAACATCTCCCACTGGAATGACACTTGCAATTGTAGCATATTGAAAGCGGCAACGATTACTAATGTGGCTTTTTCAGTTTACTGCTGAGTCCATGGGTTTACCAAGTTCCCCGGATGCCATCTTGGAATTATAGAGCTGAGAAGGAAATTCAGAAAAGCCATGGCCAAAGGTGCATTGATCTAATAAGGAGAGACATAAAAAGTTCCGATGAAGAAGAATGGAATGATTACAAATAAAGAACGCATAAGAACAATGTCAGGGTTTTCATCAAAAACGTTGGATAGCCAATGATTGAATTGTTCAGCCTATATGATATGCACAAAAAAAAGTCAGTATCTGAGATTAATTCTACGTCTAGAATCTAATCAATGGGTTCAGATGACCTATGTATGGAATGATTAACACTTATAATCATCACTGACATGTATTTAATTTAGGGATACATATTGTTTTTAGTTAGAATAACAGATATTTGGTTGGATCAACAATCACCCGTCTTACTGAAGGGATCAAATAAAAACCATTCTGAATCAATGTTTAATATCAAATGATTAATGATTAAATCTATTAATCATTCAATTAACTAAAGTCAGGGAAATTTCTGTCGGCCTTCTTGACAAATTCCTATAAACATTATTTTACAGTAAATTAACCTTTTTAAACTTAATTTATGTTTATTAAACACAATCTTAATGTAATGTCAGTAGCATTTTGGTACAAGTCTTGAATCAAATGAACACTCATTCAAAAGTTTCCTTTTAAAGTTGTAGTCAGAACATTGTAGCCAGAAATGTAAATATACTTGCCTGGCATTAAAATCTACACAGAAACATTAAGGATTGCAATGCTTTCTTTGCAATGTAGTTCAGCTCACAAAAGTCAACAGCCAATTCATCAAAAAGATCACGGCTAATAATGATGTGACGTTGGCAGGATCTCTCCTACAGTGCCACCTGAATCTGGTGGAGTTGTGGCAGAAATAAAGGAGTGTTGGAGACTTACTATCCAGCAGTTCCCCTTGTGAAAGTTTCATCAGGACCACCACTTCCTCGCACCACATGTAAATGGCGGTCAGGATCAGAACCTACAGGACAGTTGGATTTCCTTCTTTCCACCCAGGTTTCTGGAAGGACAAACTAAGAACACCTACTTTATCCAGATGTACCGTGCCAGATAAAAATTCAACTTACTCAATTTTTCTCATACTTCCCATTTGAGGAAGCACGTCAACAAGTGCAGCAATGCCAGCATCCCCGAGTTCATTATCTTGCAAGCTGGAAAGAAATTGCAACTCAAAATGGTTAGAAATGTCAGGCAGAAGTTGAAGAACTTCATACAACTTTGTGGAATTGTCTGTGATACTCACTTTATTTCTTCCAAGTGATGACAGACTTTCAGTGCAGAAGACAAGTGGGTAATACCCTTCACACTAATACTGCAGGATGTAAGGCTGGAATCAAAGGTTTATGTTTGCAAATTAATGTAATATTAGCTCCGAAGGAAAATAACCAACACTTATAGTACACAACAAACTTCAAAAAGAACAACTTGCACTTATATGTTTTTAATGTAAATAAAATATCCCAAAATACTCCATAGTTGCAATGGCAAAGCCAACACTGGACGAGGAAGGAGATATTAGGACAGTTGATTAAAAACTTGATTAGTGGGCTAGGTTTTAAGGGCATTTTGAACACAGATGGAAAACTAGACAGATGGAGAGGTTCAGGGAGAGCTTAGGACAACACCAGCTGAAGGATGGCGACCAATAGTGGGCTGAAGGAAGTGCAGAATAGTCAAGAGGTCAGAGTTGGAGGCACCCAGAGCTCTCAAAACGTTGTTGGTTTGGAGTAGATAACATAGAGAGGGAGGGGCGTCACCCTGACCTCACAGTCAAGCTTCAATCACTTCTCAACATTATCCTAAAATGTACAGTTGCCAGCAGCAATCAATGCATATTGTGAGGAGGGAGTGCTGTTTGATTTGCCCCCTTCCCCATGTAAGGGTCATAGATGCAACTATATTACCAAACACGGATCAGGTAAATCAAAACACACAAGGACAACTCCACACCATTAAGGAATGAGGCGGGTTTCAGTCTGATGTACCTTTAACATCACAGGTTTTAGGAACTTCAGTCATGGGCTTAAAAATGTAACACCAAATAGTGACTAGACAAGTACCCAATAAATGCAGAATCAAGTTGTTTTACGAAATTATATCCAGTTAAGGTGATATTTTTATTACAGTACTGGAATTCACTGCATTGTTACTGTTTCCCTTATGTAATTGCTGTAGCTCCAGCAGGGATTATCAATCAAGCAATTAAATTAGACACTACAATTTATGACAATAATGTTAGTAAATTTCTTACATCAGCTTCTTTAAGCTGCTGACTTTAGGAATGATTTCAGATAGTGTTCCAGCAAACCTGTCCTCATACTTTCTGCTTTTGAAACTATAATAGGAAAAGAGAGAATTAAAATATACTTATTTTGTCTTATTTTACAAGTGAAATAAAAAGAAAGCACTTTTTGATAGACAGCATTAAATTTTCATTAGCTAATTAGACATCATTACTAAAGACTATTGGGAGAAATGGATGACACATTGATGCCCTTTGAGACTATTTGACCAACTTCCCCATCTAAGATTGCACACCATTATCAGACTGGATAGAGCCTAATGCAGTCACCAACATTAACCTTTTCAGAACCATTATTTCACACTACAGGAACTTCCTCCCCACACAAATTTTCTGTGTCCTTTCATCCTGGGACCCGTGTGCGAATCTGACTTTTGCAATCGCTTTTCCTTGAAGCATCCTCCTAAGTTAAATTAAGTCAATCCATCTCAGTCCAGTTTCTAGTAAGGATAGGCCACACAGCATATCATCAGTCACTACTTATCACTAATTGGTATTAATTTACCGGGTTCATTCAGGAAAGACAAATGACAGCTGGTATAAGCAATGAAGGAGAAGACACTGACTGATGCAAGCTGTTTCTCTGGCCTCAGAAATAAGACACGGGACTGGAATAGGACAGAAGGATGTTAACTCTGCAAACGAATTGTGCCTGTCAACTGCAAGAGTGTGAGAGGATCCAGTGGGTCACAGCTCTCAGGTCACTATCAATCCTACCTTTGCAAGGCCAACGGGAGATGCGGAAGGGGTGCTTGGAAGTCCTGCCTTCATTCTCTCCTCCCACCTCCCTATATAACCTGGTTTTCTTCCCTTCCCCTGGAATTTGGTTGGTCTCTGCTTCTGCCTACCATGTCGGTAAAGTAACAGAAGTGCTATCCTTGGAGATTATGCAGCAGGGACAGAAGGAAGAAAGATCAAATGCAGTCACAATATTACTAGTTGAAATGCCTATTTATTACCCTTGTTCAAGCATGAGACTCAATGCCTCATTGTAAATCTAACACAATAAAACTGGGTTAGACTGATTTTTTGTCTCAAGGGATCAAGTCAACAGGCAGGAAAGTGAAGTTAAGACCCAAGATCAGTCATGTCAAACTGAATGGCAAAGGCTTAAGGAGCTAAAAGGTCAACTTCCCTGTTCTCAAATGCAGATGGCTAAGAATGAAAGGGTCAGAACATTCCAATAAGGAAGACAAGGAAAAGTTAACTGCCTTTCTATTCATGATGTGAGCTCTTGAAATAATAGACAAATAAGACATAGGTAGTTTCCAGTTCCAAATAAAATTAGATGCAAATTCCCAGTGTGTTATGTTATTGCACATACAGGATTGGCATAAAATAAATTTCAGATTACACAATAAATTCAGGACAATTGTGTAAAAGAATACTTGCTTTTGATATTTCTGGCTGAACCAAATTCAGAATAATATAAATCGACATAAAATGCCAGAAATACTCAGCAGGTAAGCCAGCATCTCTGGAGAGAGAATGAGAGTGGACTTGATCATCAATGTTTCAGGTCGAAGAACTTAAATCCAAATTTCATCCAGTTCTCACATCGTGTACAGGGGGCAGGATAAATGGAGGTGCCAAAGGACAGCAGTGAAGATCTGCAGTAGAATGGAAGGCAGGAGGGTGTTAAGCATCAAAAGCATGTCGGTGCAAGGCAAAAATAGGGTGGGTAATGCAATGAGTAAGGAAATAAAAGGGAAGCCCAGGGTTAATTTTTTTTTAATTTTGTAAGATGTGAGCATCACTGGCAAGGTCAGGTTTCATTGGCCATTGCAAACTGCCTTTGAAAATGATAGAGACCTCTCTGTTTGAATTGATGCAGCTCATCTGCAGTTCAGCAGGAACAAAATGGCAGAGGAGGTGGCGATGGAATTCCAGGATCTTGGCCTAGTCTCTCTAAAAGAATGGTGATATATCAAACTCATGCCAGGCAGGATGTCGAGGCTTACAATGTTGCAAGAAAAAAGAAACAAGATAGAGGTGTACAGTGATGGGAACCAGGTGGATCTCATTGACTATGTGATACTTGATTGAGGTTGTTAAGCTGGGCCAATCAGGAAGCCCTGGCTGACCAAAGCAAACAGGGGATTCAGAATCTCCTCAGTCTCAGGACTGACATCGAGCTGTCTGGTCACAGCCAGTGTACTGTGCACAAGTAAAAATAGGGTGACTTGGTGACAGGATACCAGCCTCTGTGCAGTTATTTCAAGCAGCAATCAGCAAAGTGCTACCAAAAGGTGATAAGGGGGAAAAAAAATCGAATATGAAAGTAAGCCAGGCAGAAATGTAAAAAACAGAGCTTGTACAGGCTTTTGTAAGAAGGAAGATAATAGCTAGAGTAATCTTTGGTCTCATAGAAGCAGAGACAGGAGAAATTTTCATCAGGATGGCAAAGGCATTGAACAAAGTATGCCTCTTCACCATGGGAAATAGAAGTATCATACCAGAACTAAATGGTAACCTGTGGTTAAAAACAGTGAGGAAATTAATATTAATAATATCAACAAAGAAAATTCCAAAATTTCAGGGACCTGTGCCTTCAGCGTAAGACTCTGAAGGAGATAACGGCCAATGTGGTGGATGAGCTAAGTATAATTTTCCAAAATTCCTTTGGTTTGGGAAGCATCCCAACAAATTGGAAGTTTGCAAAACCTTAAGGTAGGTGGAAGCATGAAATCAATGATCTACAGGCCAGTTAACTGACCCCATATCAATTGTTGGTAAAACACTGAACTTAGAAAAGCATAGGTAAGATAAATATGGTTTCACTGAATGGAAACGCAGTTTGGCAGATTTCTTAGACCTGAGGGTATAACTAGCCAGATAGATAAAGGGGAATCGGTGGATGATAAATTGGACTAGATTTCCAAAATGCATTCAATAAATGCCACACAAAAGGTTAATAGGCAAGATAAGGACATACGGCTTATAATGATAAAATGTTAGTTTGGATAGAGGATTGGTTAACAGACAGCAAGCAAAAAGTGGGCATAACCCAGGCATTTTCAAGTTGGCAGTTAATCAATAGTGGAGTGCCACAAGCATCAGTGCTGAGATCTCAGTTATTTACAATGTATGCTAATGACTTAGATGAAGCGACTGAGAGTGATATTGCTAAGTTTACTGATGACAAAAGGTTAGGTGGAAATGTGTACATGTGGAGGACACAGAGAGGCTGCAAAGAGTTATTGATACGTTAAATGAGTGAACAAAATGACAGAGGGAAGTGTGATATTATTCACTCTGTTGCGAGAAGAGAAATGCAGGAAATTGTTCAAAAGGTACAGGTGTTCAAAGAGAATTGGGTGCACCTATACAAGAGAGTCAGCATGCAGGTGCAGCAAGCAATTCAGAAGATAAATGCCATGTTGGCCATTGTTGCAAAGGGACAGGGATACAGCAATAAGGAGGTCTTGCTAAAATTGTTCAGGGTTTTTGTGAGAACCCTTCCAGAGTATTGTGTGCAAAGGATATAGTTTGCAAAGGAGGCACAAAAGTTAAGGCTTATTAAAATAGCCCCTTGGATGAGGGGGTTGCCTTATGGTTAAAAGCTGAGCAAATTGGGCTCATATTTTCTGGAGCTTAGAAGAATGAGAGGCAAGCTCATTATGACATACTAGATTCTGAGGGGATGTACGCAGAGATTATTTATGCTGATCAGAAAATCTAAATTTGGTGACACGGTCTTAGGATAAAAGGCCAATTGCTTAGACTGAGATGAGCACAAGTTACTTCATTCAGAGAGTGGTGAAGGTAAAGGATTCTTCACCCCAGAGGTGCTTTGGAGTTTGGACAGACAGTTGTATTGTGTCTCACAGATCGAGAGGAGATGTGGGAAGTGAGCAGGAAGGTGAAGACAAAAGCCAAGATCAGCCATGATCATACTGAATGGCGGAGTGGCCCCGATGAGCCAAATGACCTACTCCTGTTCTTATTTCTTGTCTCTGATAACCTAGGGTAGTGAGACACGATGAGCAACATTAATGGCGATGGTTAACTGTATATTTTGCAAGACTTCATTTCTGCTAGGAGGCTTGACCAGTGAGAGTGAATCGGCCACACCCAGATTTCCAGTAATTGGAATGAATGGCAAGCATCACAAATCAGCATGATTTCAGTGCTTGGTTCTCAAATCAGCATGATTTCAGTGCTTGGTTCTCAAATCAGCATGATCTCAATGCCTGATTCTCAAATCAGCATGATTTCTGTGCCTGATCAGCATGATCTTGGTGCTAACCTGTGGTGCCATGAAGTGAGGCACTTGACCAGATATGAAAAATTAATCTCAAATGTAAGCCCTTCACAGCTGGGCAGGCACAAAGTCTACAGCGCTTGAAATGTACTGCGGATTGAAGTCAGCAGCAGAATTCCAGGCCTTCACAATCCTCGATAAACCCACAAAATCAACAAAACTGAAAACCCCTGCTAAAAATCATGTGCATATACTCACACTAGAACTTCTATGTTCTTACAAGTGCCCAAAATGGTGACACATTCGAGATCCATGGCACAGCCTCCAATATCCAGGCAGATGCAGCTGGCTCCACTATTTATCACAAACGTCAGAACAGTCACATCTGCTGGAGTAAGCCTGAAGTTTCGAAGCTCAAACTTGGACTTTAACTGTGTTGCAACTTCCCGTGCAAGATCACAGTCTTGTGTCTCATACACGCAGTGACACAACTCGATTATTTTTGGCCCAGTTAGATTTGTGGTAGCCAACTTTCGCAAGTTCTGTAAAATGGCTCTCTGCTTCCTTTGCACCCACATTTCACTCTTGTTTGCCAAAGTACTGAGGAACTGCTTACATCCCTTCGACGCTAACCCGGATAAAAATATGTGAACGGCATCAGTGAACTCATTTTTCATGTCATTCTTTGATGTCCATTTGGACTTAAGGTAAAACCTGCTTTTTAGTATCTGGTCAGAAATCGTGCTATCGATCATCTGGTGAAGTGCTGCCAGGAACTCTTGCAGGGTCAAGTGAATAAAGGCGTGTCCATTCTCCTGGTACTGGTCTATTGTCTTCACTTCGAAAGTGGTAAGAAATCCATACGAGGAAGCAAAGTTTGTGATCTTTTCAGAAAGGAGGTCTCTCAAATAAAACACAGATTTACTCGCCTGGAGCCCTTTTATTGCAAGGTTGCAAACTCCATGAATGTCTTCTCTGTGTTTGTTTAGCAGCCGTGTTTCAATATTATCACTAGTCTGTTTACTACTGGTGCCTTTGCTTAAAAATACGGTGAGCATCTTGATGTAGAACTGTGTCATCGTATGAGGTAGCTTGGGTTCGACAGTGCATGGAGTTAACAAGCGCTCAAGACAAAGAAAGACTATCCAGCACATGGCAGGAATGTAGCACATGTTTAAAATCTTCCTATTCGTCTGCAAGTGGCAGATTGCTCGATGATTTTGTTTACTGTCTTTGAAAAATCGATGGGCATACTCTTCGATTTTACATTCGTCGAACCCCGAGACCTCTCCCACCTGACTCACAACATCTAAAGGCAAGGAGAGGACGTCTTTTGGTCTGGATGTTATTAGAATTGTACAGCCCGGGAGCAGTTTGCCATTATACAGGCTGGAAAATAATTCTCCCACTGACAGTGGAGCCATGGGGTCACTGGAAACAGCAAAGGTGTGGACAAAGGCTTTCCCCACAAACTCATCGAAACCATCGAACAGAATTAAAATTTTCTCCGGGTTTCCTATGATGAATCTAAATACAGCATGGGAATTCCTTTCTGGCTGAAGGAACAAGTCAAACAACATACTCTTCAGATCTATGCTGTTTTTGATTAGATTCAGTTGGCGGAACTCAAACAAAAATACATACTGGAACTGACTGAGGGTCCCTTGTGCCCACTCGTAGCAAACTTTGTGCATCAACTTTGTCTTTCCGGTTCCCGCTTTTCCAAGTAGGATGTGTACTCTACAATTGGAGACATGTTTTTTGTTCAGGAACTCTGCTAGGTTTGCAACTGTATCCTGATTCTCTTCAAGCCCTGGTGAACTGAGTACATCATCGCGGCTGGCATCAATTCTCTCCTTCAGTTTGGCCACATTTCCATCTTTCATGGTCAGACTCCTAAACGTTTGATCAATGATCACTTGTTTCATTTGGTCTTCTTTTGCCAAGTTGGCTTCATACTTCTCAGAGACATTCTTTATCATCAACGATTTATAATCCTCAGCAAAATCTGCCAACACAAAACATAAAAATCTACTGAGTCTGAAAAGTAAAAATTCCACCAAGTTTCCCAGTATCTTAGCCTTCATGAGACTCACCTTTTAAAAATTTCTGATCAACATGGTATTGCCATTTGTGGGAGCTTGCTGTTGTTTTTTTCTCATGGGGAGTGCGAGTCACTAGTTAGGTCAGCATTTATTGTCTGTCCCTAACTGCCCTGAGAAAGGTGGTGATGAGCTGTCTTCTCGAAATACTGCAGTCTTTGGGGTGCAGCTACAACCACTGTGTTGTCAGGGAGCTGCAGGATTCTGATGCAGTGATACTGGAGGTATGGGGATAGATTTCGAAGACAGGATTTTGTGAGTTAGGGGACAGCATGCAGGAGATGGTGTTCCCATCGCTCTATATGGCAGAGATCATGGATTTGGAAGTTCTGTCAGAGCAGCTGCAATGCATCTTGTAGATGGTACACACTGCTGCTACTGTAGATCAGTGGTGTAGACAGTCAATGCTGAAGATGTTGGTTGGGGTGAAAATCAAGCGGGCTGCTTTGTTCTGGATAGTGTCAAGCTTCTTGAGTGTTGTTGAAGCTGCACCCATCCAGGCAAGTGGGGAGTATTCCAACACACTCCTGACTTGCGCCTTGCAGATGGTAGACAGACTTTGGACAGTCAGGAGGTGAGTTAATTGCTGCAGTTGTCCCAGAACAACTCCTACCTAACTGTATCCCCCTGTGCCACCATCTCTGCTGAGTCTGTCCTGCCAATGGGCCAGGATATATCCAGGGATGCTGCTGGTGGTGTCTGGGACATTATCTGTCAGGTATGGTTTTGTGAGTATGACTATGTCAGGCTGTTGCTTGACATGTCTTTGTAACAGTTCTCATAATTTCAGCATTAGCTCCCAGGTATTGGTGAAGAGTACTTTGCAAGGTCAACAGAGCTGTGTTTGTTAATGCCATCCTGGTTCCAGTTTCTGTAGACTTTGTGGCAGTTTGATATGACTGCTAGCCATTTCAAAGGGGAGTTAACAGTCAACCATGTTGTGGGTCTGGAGTCACATGTAGGCCAGATTACCTTCCCTAAAGACCATTAGTGAGATGGGTAGGATTTTATAACAATTGACAGTGGTTGCTGTTGGACTATCTTTTAATTCAAATTCCAACATCTGCCGTGGTGGGATTCAAACCCATGTTCTCAGAACATTAGCCCAGGACTCTGAACTGCTAGTCCAATGACATTACTACTACACTATTGCCTGCCCTGAAACCCAGCAAATGGGTTTCCTGTATTACAAGAGTGACCACACTTCAGAAGTACCTTATTGGCTGTAAAGCAGTCTAGGCTAATCAAAGGTCATAAGAAAGCACTGTATAAATGCAAGCCTTTCTTTAATTGTGTTGCATCTTACAAAGGTCTAAAATTTGAGTGGATCACCTAACTATATCATATCCCAGTATCACACTTCTGCTGAATAGACGTTTGCAGTAACTGATGTCCAAGCTGATCAGTTAAATTGCCAGCAATTAACTGTGAGTCAATCAGAGGAAATTTGACCAGTAAGTATGAATGAGGAATAAATATGCAGCAGAACACTGAGCCATCAAATTGTACAACTCCCTGTTTGAAAGCTAGCAATTTTAGAATAAGGTCACATGGCAGGGGGCAAAGCATTTAATTGTTCCACAAATATTCTGGCTGTAGTTTCATATACTACCTTGAACGTTTTCCTCAAAATGTTAATAAAAATGTTAATTTCTACTCCTAAGGTTTTTCAATGGTCCATTAAATCTCTGAAAAAGACTTATCCCTGTTGAGAAGCTGGAACTCAATAATGAATACTGGCTGGAAGCTTAGCTCATCATGTGGAGATAGCATGAAGTGCAGATGCTGGAGTCAGAGTCGATACAGAGTGGAGCTGGAGGAACACAGCAGTTCTGATGAAGGGTCTAGGCCCGAAACATCGACTCTCCTCTTCCTCTGATTCTGCCTGACCTGCTGTGCTCCTCCAGCTCCACACTGTATTGGTTCATCGTGTGGTTTGCTAAGAAGCAATTGAGTTGAACAGGTGAACATTTGAGGATTTGTAACAGATAGGGTAAGGCTTTGTTGGTTTATTTGGTTTAAGGCTCATCCAGATTGACCACTTTCCATCTGGTAAAACCTTTGCCCTTTTCTGTTTTGGCCTAGAATGCCAGTTAGGGTTCCCTCCCTATTGAGTCTAATGAACACCATCACATAACACACCAGGCCTTTTATTTTGATAGACAGCAAGACCAGCCGTGCACCTAGCATGCCAAAATCTGCTGTTTGTAAGCCTTATCATATCTTATCACTTTTTAAATTTGGAACAGTATTGGAATTAGTAAAATAATCTTCCAGCTGTATAACACATTGGGTCTCATGCTATATAATCATTTTTCAGTATGAAAATTGGCCAACTCAGTCTATAATTGCTACAAGACATCAGTTAGAAAGTGTAATTACTGTGTATGCTTCATATCTGTTGTATGCTTACTAACATTTTGCTTAGCAAACTCTGTGGGAGAAATTGGTTCACCTAGCTTTACGCTTAACACACAAGGTCAGAAGTCAGACAACACCAGGTTATAGTTCAATAGGTTTATTTGAAATCTCAAGCTTTCGGAGCACTATTCCTTTGTCAGATGAAGGAGCACCACTCCAAAAGCTTGTGATTTCAAATAAATCTGTTGGACGATAACCTAGTGTCGTCTGACTTCTGACTTTGTCCATCCCAGTTCAACACCGACACATCCACATCACACCTAAAACACAGGTATTAAATGAAGGATGTTACATGGCTGTGTATTAACCAGGTATGCATTTTCTCCCCATCAGTCATGTCCTGTTGACTTTCTGATCTTCAAAAGCTGACCTTCCTCCGTGGAAAGAAGCAGGGATTCATCAAGAGATAACAATTTGTATCATAGGCCTGTGTTCGGCTATTTCATTCCTGAGAAACACCATGAGCAGCAAGCTTGCTGTGACATGCCAGACAGAACACAACCTGTCCTTAATAATTAAATATCACAATGTCTCCATACCCCAGCCTTGAGCAATGCTAATACATGCCAATTGGATAATTACAGTGTTGAAATAGGCTCCTACAAAAGGTTACAGCAGGCTTGAAGCATTGATAAAGCATTACAATTTGCAAGTAGATTTTCCATACTCCAGACCGCCCTCCTCAGCAGTCTAGCGCACGGTCTAACAGCAGTCTCTCAGTGTATGCTGCAGCATCACTGTGTAGGGTTTCTGAGATTGTGCCCCAGAAGGATTGACGGTGGCTCCATGAAACATGGGTCTGCTGTCCTCTCTCATAATGGCAGCATTGGTAGTTCCACAACTACCACTTGCCCAGTGCCCTGGCTGTTGCTGCTACCCACGCTGAGGTAGTACAGTCGTCTAGGCCTAGAGCTGTGTGAAAATGATCTGCAAAATCAACTGTTGTGTCCTCAACTGAAAGACTTTCATCTGCAATGTTAGCACTGCATAGGAGCACTATGAAAGGAGGATAGGAATATATAAAGGTAAAGAGCTTGATTTTCTATGCAATTTTGAATGGTTTGTTTGATAAGCATTGCACAGACTGATAGGCATTGCAATCTGCCTGTTCTACACATTTTCTACACTCACTTCCACTGTCTGCACTTATCCAGAATGGCATCCACCACAGCCTGCACCAAAGTGTGCAGTGGCTTGCAAAATAATGAAACAATGTGTCACGCACCCAAATTTACCAGCCATAGAATTTAAAAGTATAGAATGCATTCAGCCCATTGTGATCTTAATTAAGAGGTTTCCAAATAGTCCAATCCCCTATCTTTCCCCATAATTCTGCTCATCTTTCCTAGACAAAAACAGAAATTGCTGGAAAAGCTCAGTAGATCTGGCAGCATCTGTGGAAGAAATCAAAGTTAACGTTTCAGGTTGAGTGATATTCTTGAATCTCCTTCCACAATGAATTCCTGATCATTGTAACTTGTTGGGCAAAAATAAAACTCTTCCTCTCCTACAGTTTCTTTTGCTAATTATATTAAACCTGAATCTTCCGATTACTTGGTCTCCTGTCGCTGGAGACATTCTCTAACAAAGACCCTCATAATTTGGAACATCTCTTTTTAATCTCTCCTTTATCTTCAGCTTCACCGCTCAATGCTAATTTCTCTCCTCGCTCCACATCTCTGAAGTGATTCACCCTTGGCATCATTCTCTAGTGCCATCTGAAAGGGGCTTGACTTCCTTTCTGAAATGTTGAGCTTTGAATTAGATATAATACGCTCACTGAGGCCTAAACAGTTAATTCTATAGGTTCAGCATAACTTACTTGTTTTTGTACTCTATGCCACTATTGGTAAAGAGAAAGAACAAATGAGCTCAGAAATAGTAAGTAACAAAAATATTACCTGATATTGCTGGCAAATTCAAATACTGCTCTCCTGCTTGAAATGACAAGTTGTCCACTTCTTGAAACTCTGAGTTCAATGTGTTGGTGAAAGGGGCTATAGAGCTGGATTTTACTTCTCTAGCTTTGCAAAATTTACCTTAAACAGAATAGGAAGGAAACAATTTTAGGTTTACATATGAACATCCATCAAGTCTGCCCCACATACATATAGTCAGGGAGTATTATGACTTAACACTTTCGAACACTCCATATCTATGTAATCTGATCCAGAGATGCAAAAAAAAAGGGAGGGAAACAAGGTTAATTAGGGGGGAAAATAGATCTCTGCTACACTTGGGTAGTTGAAGCTAAACCAAGAGATTATATTTCAACAGTGAGATTAGCTGGCTAAATCATTCATCTCAACCAAGACCTTTATGTCCAATTATTCAATCAAACCCATACCAATTCCTTCTTTGTTGCTGAGTTCAATTCTTGCAATCGCCAAACTATTGTCAAAGTGTCACTAAAGGATTACAGCAGACATTCAGGGCTGGGCAACAAAATGCAGCCATGTTCCCAGAACTGATTGGGCAGCCAACTTGCATAAAGCAATAGTGTGTAACATGGGCTCCGGCTTACAGTGAGACTCCAGTCTAAGTCGGGGGCTCAATTTGGACAGGCACAGGCTGATGAGCTGGGAAATAGGGGAGAGGAGGGCCAGGAAAATAGAGTGGTAACTTTATCAGGACGGGTCCCCAATGCATTCCTGCCAACAGGGAAAGTTCTTGCAGGGCTGGACGATCATGCAAGTTCTGAGGAAGGGTCACCGGACCCGAAACGTTAACTCTGTTTTTTTCCCCTTCACAGATGCTGCCAGACCTGCTGAGCTTTTCCAGCAACTTTGTTCTGTTCCATCATGCAAGTGGGTTGCCCCCATGACTGAAATTCACGCCAATCGAAGTAACGATTAAGTTTCCAATTTTAGGTGGTTTTTCCAGTTCACCTGCAAATGTGCTGCTGGCAAATCAGCTCCACCTCTCACAAAGGTACTGCCAGCCTGACTTCTTGCAACAGTGCATAGCGCCATAGGAGCCATTGACTCTGTCCAACAAAGACAAGGCCACACCCCACAGCCCCAACAATCCAAGTTATCGGATTTCCCTATTGCCTTTCCATCCTTTAACATTGTTATTTTCTCGGCTTCAGAGGGGCTTTGATTTTGAGGTGGGATCTGCCAAGGTTCTAGAGTTGCTGTTCCCCTCATTGAGCCTGGAGGACTGAGAGATCACACACACACTCCTAAACTGGGGCAATAGAGCAAATTAGGAGTCTATTTCCAGGAATATTCCTGTGTCTGTCATGTTTATGTTACAGAACATCCCAAGGATAGCTTGTCATTGGGGTAATGTACTGTCACCCATCCTTCTTTGTATATGTCTACTGGACTGTTCAGTTATCACTGGTAAAGGATGAACCACCAGTTTAACATCTCAGCAAGAAGCAGTTACCTTAATGACAAAATATACTTTATTGGATAATTTCAATAGGTACATGGTACTTTGAATAGTTCGATATTATCATTGAGACTAATAAGAGCTACAGATGACACACTGGATTCAATTGGAATTTCGATCTGGACTCTCCATCCAAAACTGTGTAACAAATCAGATTTGGTGTAGTCTAATACAATCTCCAATGTTAAAACTTTCAGAACCTTACTTTATATAACAGGGCATGTGGTTAGCAACTGTGGGCTTGGGAACCCAGTCTCTATCCAAAAACCCATGGAAAACTGTATACAGGATAGTATATTGTCTAAGGGCATATATCTACCATCACTCTACCTACCATAAGCTAGTTTCTACTGCAATTCTACTACCTCTACTTTAATGCTGATGTTTCAGTTTACCTTTTTTCACATGTTTTACATTAGTAGATTTCGGGTTTGCCACTTGCGCAGCTTTTCGCTTTCTTCCAGTCTGAGAGTTATCTAAAGAAGTTGTCAAAATATTGATGACAATAGATTAAGAGATGATGTTAGTTCAGTGCATTAAGATGAACATAAGATTATTCAGATTGCTGGCAATTTGATCAGAGCATTTCTTATGCTAAGTTGCAATCATCACCAGCTACTCACATACACATATTGCCTCCGGGACAGAAGATAGGGGTTTCAACTACCATCCCACAAACCTGACAGTGAAGTCTCAGGTGACTCTCCACAGCAGTACAGGGGTGCTGTACCATCAGAAATGTCATTGTTTGGATGAGGAGTCAAACCAAGGTCTCATCTGCTTTCTTTCAGGAAGTGACAGAGATCCCACAACATGACCTTGAAGGAGGGCAGGGGAGTTATTCTCAACATCCTGGCTGATTTTTAACCTTCAATCAACATCAGTGAGAAGCACAATCTAATCATGAACCTCATTGCTGTTTGCAGGCCTTTGCTGCAGATTCACTGCTGTATTTCTTAGACAGATGAAATCCATGCTTATTTTGTCTCATGTTTGCTGTACGCCAGGACTCTGTCAATCTGCTAGTACTGTGGAATCTGCCGGAGAGCAGCCTGGGTTTTGTTCGCTGTTTAACTTGGGTTTTATTGGAATGAAATAGTCAGTCTCTTCTGTCACATGCCCAGAAACATGTGCATCATTTAATTCATCCAGAGTTCATAAAAGGATAATCAGTACATCTCTATTTTAAAATATCCAGATGACAGTATTGTATCTTTGTTTAAAAGAGAGATCCATTACAAAGTAACTAATCTGTAGGTTTTATTTGGATTGTTAATTTCTGAGTGAGTGCTTTCTGCAACTACCCAAACAAAGCACCAATTGGATTACCGAATGAGTGACAAGGTTCTCATCTTCACATTTCTTGTGTAAATAGATGCATCACAGGGTCTTGTAATTGATCCAAACATTTACAGGATCGCTACTTCTTAGCAATGACATTGCCAAAGTATTTCTGCCATTTGTTTCAGGGGTAGAAATAAATTTTGCCAATGTGGCCATTACAGCTGAAGCTTTCACCACACTAATTCCTGATCAAGCCCTGGGTTGCATGGGTTGAATATTTGTTTTGTCCCATCATTTCTAACGTTAGGAACAGAAATGGGCAAGTTAGTGCCTTGAGTCTTGTTCTACCTTTTGATTAACAAAATTTTGTTAATAGCAGATTTAAAAGTAACAGTTTTAATTGGTAAATGGCCAATTAAGGCAGTGGCCAAGCGGTTTTATCGCTAGACTATTAATCCAGAAGCCCAGGTAATATTCTGGGGAAATGGGTTCAAATCCTGCCATGGCAAATGGTGGAATTTGAATTCAATAAAAGTCAGGAATTAATAGTCTTAGAAGGATTGCAGTCCCACCAGCAGAGATGAATGTGCCCCCTGTAGGAGGGGAACAGTTGAGAGGCTGGGAGCATTGGAAGCAATTATGAGGATTGACAGCAATTCAGAATCCAGCAAAGAATGAGCAAGACACTGAAAATGGAAAAAAAAACACAGAATATGAACTAGTGAAGAGCATAAAGACAGAATGTCAAAGCATCTTTAGGTATATGTGAACAATAGATTTCTTCAATCACAAGGTGGTTAAATATTGGAATTCTTGACCTCGGAGGGCTGTGGAAGCTCACTCATTCAGATAAAAATTGATAGATTTCCAGAGGCAATGACATCAAAGGATCTGGAGATAGTGGCATTGATTGATCTGTTTCTGTTCCTAAGTTCCTTATATTTAGAAAATTGAAATGACTTCAGAGGGTGCCTAACAATTGTCCACCTCTTTAGTGATTGGAATCATGGTCAGGTGGATCTCAGTGACTATGAGCCATGGCTGACAGATATAAAAAGGAGATTTAGAAGGTCTCCTCAGTCCAGGGGCTGGCTCTAAGCTGTCTAGTCACCGTCCATGTACAGTGCACATACAAATGAAGGGTGACTTGGTGATGGGATTCCAGCCTCTGAGCAATTATTTTACCTTTCTACAGTGGACATGTTGCTCTCTAGCAATGGGGTTGCCATCCTTCCAAGACTGCAGTAAGCTGCAGGATTTGGACCCACAGACAATTCCAACTGGAGATTTATTCTAAAATCTGGTCTGGGTGGGATATCTTCAGAGGGTTAGTGCAGAATCAGTGGGCTGATTAACCTCGTTCTGCACTGTGATTTCACTTTACTTTCTATAATTCTAAAAAGAATCTATTCTATGACTTCCATCCCTACCTGTTGCAATTAATTCTACATCAGAGTGTGCAGTATCGTTGGAATTAGATTCTCTCAGTTCCTGTGGCAACAAAACTGGAAAGAAAATAAATGCATTTATATCAGTCACATTAGTTATATTGTTCATAAACTTCCAGAACTGTACCTGACCAGTTGACTGCCAGACACAATCACCTATAATATATGCCTTAAGTTTTCCTTTTTGGGGAAGCCAGATTAGTGCCTTTGTAATTTTATATAACCTTGAACCATCTGAAAACATCACGATATTCAGATCATAGACAATACTTAAACATGCAAATTAAAAAACAGTCGAGCGCATTAAGTCAGCAATCTATTCAGGTCACAAAATGTCTTTTAAAAATTACTTCCTCCTATATGCTGCTCCATACCCAATTGAAAATTGAATTATACATCCATGTTTGGACACTGGTGAAAGTGAGCCATTGTTCATTTACGACATGGAATCAGACCTGGACAATGGGGTCTCATTCTCATCCCTGATAATTGCTTTTGAGACATGCAGATGTGTTCCAAAACTAGCTATAATACAGTCATTTCTATGTAGGAAAAAGAAATTTAGAATCATAAGAAATCAATTCAGCATCAGCATAGGTGGCAAAGCCATTACTTGTTGACCATTCCTGGTTGCCCTTGAGCAAGATGTGGTGGATGCCTTCTTTACCCACAGCAGTGTGTGAGGTGAAGGCACTCCCACAGCGTTATTCGATAGTGAATGCCAGGATTTCAACTCAAGATGAAGAGTAGACCACATATGTCCAAGACAGAATGGTGCGTGTATGGAGGGGAACTTTGAGGTGATATTGTTCCTATGCATTCACTGCCCTGTCCTCCTAAATGGTAGAGGTTGTGAGATGGGGAGGTGCTGTCACTATATGCTAACTATAAGCTGCAAAATGAGATCCACATTACATCTTATCTCTGCTCAGTGTTGAATATATAAAGAAGAAATTTTTCAGAGCTCAACATAGACTCCTTTCCACATGTTTAAACTACAATTGCAGTGGGATGGAAAACAGTTATAGTGTAAAGAAAGTTTAAGTCCTCGATTATGGTTTAGTGCAACCTAAGCCACAGAATAATAAATTAGATGGACCTTGCTCTTTCCTCATCAAGCAATCTCTATGTTGGACAAATTGAATCAACTCCAAATAGACTGGGTCAGAACCGAACAAAATACAAAAGCATAGTGCTTCTTCTCAAATGCTATGAATTTTTATGCCCTTTAGGTTGTAACCTATTTTAAGCACAGCACCAATTACCTTCATCTCCAGCTGTCATAAGCAAATTCTCCAGACACATTGGGAATATGTTATTGGGTGAAATGATAATGAGGGTTTCGAAGAATTTCTTGCAGGTCTCATCATCTTTGGTCATCAACTTGTTTAGCAATACTGAAACTTTTTCCACATTCGTTTTTTTGCTCTCGATAAGATCCAGTTCCTTCTTACTGAGGATACCCTTAGCCTCTTCAAGGGCATGGTGAGCTTCCACACTGAGACACTCCACTACTTGACCATAGTTACTCTCCACCACTTCCTTAATTCCACTGGCGCTCATCCTGGCAAAGAAACCACAATGAAAAGTTGGAATATAATGTTACATGTTTAAAATATTCAAATAGCCTTTGTGGCTGAGTAAAGGAAAACTTGCCAAGGCTCACTCCAGTTAAAGCTGATTTAAACAACAACTTGCATTTCTATGCAGCAAAACGGCGCCTTGTGAACGGGTACTCTCGATAAACCGGCAACTAATGAGATTCTGCTGTTGATAAACCGGAATTTTATCAACTGACACATATCTGGTCCAATACATGCCGGTTAATAGAAAGTCTGCTGCAGCACTTTTCCTGTAGGAAGGGATTCCAATGACAAATTTCTTCAGAATATATTTAGCTGAGAATTTGACAAAACATATCGTCATACGAGCACTGACAGTTTTCTCTGTGAGGTTCATGCAAGGAAGTTCAATTTGATACCATTCCCCACCACCACTAAATTGCTTCATGAATTGCCAATTTATCTCATGATAATGTCATTGATTACATTTCAGTACAATACACTGTCTTTTTGTATTTACCATACAACTTTTATTTGTAAAGGGAGGACAGTCAGGTATCAATTATATATTGAGGCCTCATTTCAAATCACAACCATATGTCTGATGCTAAATCTAACCCAGAGAACCAGTTGACTTTTTTGATGTGAAACAGTGAGAATCCCTTGTCTGTGAGTTTAATTCTGGATTTACACCACAACCAAAATTAGTGCAAAATGAAACATCTCTACAAATGATGTATGGAATATAAGAATTGGAGCAGAAGTAGGCAATTCAGTCCCTTGAACCTTATCTGACATTTATTACAATCATGGCTGATCTCATCTTGGCCTTAACTTCATTTTCCCACCCACTCTCCATAACCCTTTAACCCATCACTAATTAAAGATCTGTCTACTTCCTCAAATTTATTCAGTGTGCCAGCATCAACCCACTCTGGGGTGGTGAATTCCATAGATTCATGACCATTTGAGAAAAGTAATTCTTCCTCATCTCAGTTTTAAATCTGCCGCCTCTTAGCCCAAAACTGTGACCTCTCATTCTAGATTGCCCCACAAGGTACATTGGCACAAGTGGAATTTGATGCCAACATAAGTTGCGTTAAGATAAAACAACAGAAAACTACTTAATCAGGGATTGACTTTGCTCCTCCAGGGCCCTCATTTGTCAGGCAGAGCATACTGACAGCACTGTTTATCTGCCCTGAGCTGAACCGAGGCACCATTCCAAGTTCAGATCAGCTGAATGGGTTTCAACTTTCTCACAGGAGCTGGGCACAGAGACACTGCTAGTAAAGGACATGGGATTAGCTCACAGATCACGCACGAACAAGGAAAACCAGAACAGGTCCAACAGGTAGAATAGGCTGCTCCGGATGTTTCTACAAAACCCAAACACTGCTGAGAGGTGTGCAGCAGCAGGGAAGATAAAGCCACAATAGTTCTAGAGGATTGCTCTCTCATTAGAGAGGCAGCTGGTTGTGAGGGTCACCCCGCCTCAAGCGAGGGGCGAGATTGAGAAGGAACCTTCATGATAACCTCAGCTGGTACTGCAATTGAACCCATGCTGCTGTTGTCACTCTGCATTGCAAAGCAACTATCCAGCCAACTGAGTTAACTGATCTTTTAATGGCTTTCATGCCAACATACAAACATATGAATTAGGAGCGATGAGCCATTCAGTCCCTGAAACCTGTACCATTCAATAATGGTTAATCTGATTGTAACCTTAAATCTGCATTCCTGCCTACTGCTGATGACTTGTCACCCTCATATTTAACAAGATTCAGTCTAACTCAGCCTTTAAAATATTTAAGGAACGTTAAAACCTTTGCAGGAAATGATTTCCAATGATTTGTCTCTATTTTAAATAAGTGACTCCTGAATTTTAAACAGCGACCCCTATTTCTACATTCTCCCACAAGAGGAAATATCCTCTCCACACATCCCCTGTCAAGACCCCTCAGGACCTTATATGTTTTATGTTTTAATCAAGTCATCACTTATTCTTCCAGAGTCCAACAGATACAAGCATAGCCTGTCCAACCTTCCCTTCTAGACAACATCTCCATTCTGGGTATTGGTCTGGTAAACCTTCTCTGAAGTGCATCCAATGCATTGAGATCCTTCCTTAAATATGGTAATCAATACTGTACACAGTACACATGATGTGGTCCTGCCAGTGCCCTGTAAAACTGAAACATAATCTCCCCAATTTTATATTCAGATTCCCTTGTGATATATAATAATGTTCTATTAGCATTCCTGCTAACATGCTGCACCTGCCTACTAAGCTTATTGCGATTCCTGCATAAACATATGCAGATCCTTCTGCATCTTGAAACTCTGCAATCTCTCACCATTTAAATAATGTGCTTCTTTGTTATTCTTCCTGCAAAAATGGACAATTACACATTTTCCAACAATATACTCCATTAGTCATATCTTTGTCCAATCATGTGACCTATCAGCATCTTCTTGTAGCCTCTATAATTCCTCTTCAAAACTTACTTTTACACCGATCTTTGTATCAGCAAAGTTGACAATTACACCTTATTTCCTTTCATCTAAGTCACGTATATAAATTGTAAATAGTTCATATCCCAGAACCAATCCCATTGGCGCACCAACTGTCAACCAAAAAAACCTTTATGACTACTCTCTGCTTCCTGTTAGCCAGTCAATCTTTTATCCATGTCAATGTGCTGGCCCGACACCATGGGCCCTTATTTTCTACAATTAGTTTTGATATGGAAACTTATCCAATGCTTTCTGGAAATCTAAGTACAGTAGATCACAGATTCCCTTTTAGCTACCTTCTCAAATGAACTTCAATAAATTGGTCAATCATGGTTTTCCCTTCACCAAACCATGTTGACTCTGCCTGATTACCTTGAACTTATCCATCTGCCCTGTGATAACTCCATTCATAATAGCTTTTAACATTTCCCTTTGACAAATGTTCAACTAATTATCCTATAGAATCCTGTTTTCTGACTCCCTCCATTTTTGAATACAGGAGTTACATTTGCTGTATTCCAATCTCATGGGACTGTCACCGATAATTAAAATCAGTGCTTCAGCTATCTCATGAACCACTTTTTTTAACACCCTATGATGAGGTCCATGAGGACCTAGGCACTTATTTGCCCACATCTCCAACAATATACTTAGTACCACATCTCTGGGGACTGTAATTTTCCTGACCTCCCCATCTCGCCCTTTCACTTCCTGACTCATCACTGCTTCTGGCATGTTACTACTATTCTCGATAATGACAACTGATGCAAAATACCTGTTCAATTCATCAGCCATTTCCTTATTTTCCATTATTAACTCTGCAGTCTCACTTTCTGCAGGATTAATGCTCGCTTTGTCAACTCTGTTTAAATATTTATTGAAACTCTTCCTATCTGTTTTTATATTTCTGGTTAGCTTTTTATGACATATATTCTATGGAGCTCAGAAAATGGCAGACAGTCTCACTGAACGAGCAATAATTCCGAAGGGGCTTGGGAGGGTAGATGCTCCGAGATTGCTTCCACTGGTTGGGAAAATGAAACACAGGGCATTGTCTCAGATTGAGGAACCAATCATGTAGGATTGAAATGTGGAGAAATTCTTTCATTCAATAGGTGTGAATCTTATTCTCTACTTTAGAGGATTGCAAATGCTCCTTCATTGAATATATTTAAGGCTGAGCTGGACAGATGTCTTATCTCTCACAGAGTCCATGTATTTAGGGAATGGGCAAAAGGGTAGCAACTATGGTATTGAATGGCAGAGTAGGTTCATTAGATCAGATGGTCTACTTCTGCTCCTACTTCTTGTGTTATTGAGTTCTCAGATCCCCTAACTTGAGTGGGTAGAACTGGAGAAGTAAATCATTGACATATAGTTCTCTAATACTTCAGCCAAGTCATTGAGAAATATGGTGTAAAACTAATATCCTAGTATTTAACAGTCCCAACATAGGTGAAACAACTTTCTCTGCTTCTAATTCAGGAGACAGAAAAGCATTGCATCTCACACTTCTTCGTACTTGCTTTCATCCCTCGATCCTCTTTCTTTTCTCCCTCCCTACTATTTGGAAGGTAGATAGGTATATGGGAGCAGGGGTAGGCCATTCAGCCTTCTATGCCTACCATGCTGTCTACATTATGGCTCAAAACTATACTCCTGTACTATCCCCATATCCCTGGATGACATTATTAACTAGAAATCTAGCAGTCTCTGGCTTGAACTTACTTAATGGCTGAGCTTCCACAGCCCTCTGATGTAGAGTATTCCAACAATTCCTGCTGAGTGAAGAGGTTCCTCCTTATCTCAGTATGAGAGGGCTCGCCTTTTATTTTGAGACTGTGTCCCTGGCTGTATGTCCCACAGCATACCACATCCACTCTATCTCTCCCTTTAAGAATTTTGCAAGTTTCTATGAGATCACTTCTAAACTCCAGAGAATACAGGTCCTGTCTCCTGAATCTCTCCTCATAGGAGAGTCTCACCATCCCTGAAGTCATCTGATGAAACTCTGAGGCAATCCCTCCATAGTAAGTAAAACCTTCTCAGGACCAGGGACCAGAACTGCACACTATACACCAGGTGTCGTACGATAGTGTTCTGTGAAATTGAAGAAAGACTTCTTTGCTCCTGTACTCAAATCTACCTGTGATAAGAGCTAACACAAGGATTGCTTTCCAAATTACTTTCTCCACCTTTATGCTAGCTTTCAGTGACTTATTTATAAGGACACCCAGGTCCCTTTGACCATCAACATTTTCCAATTTCTCATTATTTAAGGAGCAGTCTGCACTTCTTCCCAAAGTGGATAACTTCATAATTATTGTGTTATTTTCCATCTGTCATAGTCTTGACCACTCTCTTAGTCTGTCTAAATCATCTCGCAGTCTCCCTGCATCTTCCTCACTACCCATCCTCCAATCAAGTTTCATATCATCTGCAAACTTGGAATCTAATTCAATAGAATCAGAGAATCCCTACAGTG